GAGATGCTGTAGAAGTGAAAAGGTTTATTATATCCTTAGTCAGAAAGATGCTAGGTCCCACAATCATACCCTAGCTGGAATATTTGTCATACTTCATTTGTATACCAAGAGAGAAGAGGTTTCATTGCACAGTATCCTTATAACATGGAAATTCTTGGATTCCAAGGCTAGAAGGGACCATTGTGGTCATCTAGTCTGACCAACTATATTGCACAGGCCACACAACTTCCCCCAAATAATTCCTAGGTCATAACTTCTGATCTGAATTTAAAAACTCATCACTGATGAAGAATCCACCATGCCCCTTAGTAGAGTGTTCCAGTGATTAATTACTCTCTGTTAAAAAAGTATCCCATATTTCCAGTCTGAATTTGTCTAGCTCAGTGGTTCTCAAACTGTGGGTCGAGACCCCTAAGGAGGTCACAACCCCATTTTAAAGGGGTCGTCAGGGCTGGGGTTAGGGGACAAAGACCAAGACCAAGCCCCACTGTCGGGGGGCTGAAGACCAAGCCCCATTGCCCAGGGTCAAAGCTGAAGCCTAAATCCCATCGTCTGGGTCCGAAGCCCAAGGCCTTCATCCCTTAGTGGCGGGGCTCAGATCACAGGCCCCCCACCTGGGGCTGAAGCCCTTGGGCTTGGGTCCCTCCACCTGGGGTCGTGAAGCAATTTTTGTTATCAGAAGAAGGGTCGCAGTGCAATGAAGTTTGAGAACCCTGATCTAGCTTCAACTTCCAGCCACTGGATCACATTTCTTTGCTTGACTGAAGAGCCCTCTTATCAGAGATCTGTTCTCCAGGTAGATATGAGTTCAATGGAGAGCTGGTCTGAATCAGAGCACTAAAGAGAGGCAGATGTCATCTAGAGGCCAAATTGTGTTTTATCTCAATCAGTTGGGGTAAAGTGGAAATTAGTTAAGTGATGAGTAATCACAAGCAAATCAGAGTTAGTTGTTGTAGGAGGAACTACTACTTAACCTTACTAGTTTACAGTGTAAGATTATCTACTGTATATTAACTACTATTATCCTAATTAAATTCACTTTCTAGGTAACAATTTACATGTATGAAATAAAAGAATTTTGAATTAGAAAATACAATGCACTAGAACATAAACCCTGTCATTGTATGTTCCTGTAGCGAAGTGAGACTCACTGGCGTGGCACCTCCTGCTGGTCATCCTGGGAATTAGCTCAACTCCAGCTTTGGAGCACCCTCTGCTGGCCAGTGTGTCACCTGCCACTAGCCCCATGTCCCTCCTGCATTCCAGTGCCCTTTACCTCAGGGTTCTGCCCCAGCAATACCCCCATGCTCTGGGTCTCCCCTTCCAGGGGAACCCCCAACCCTCTAAACCCATCTTGCCTCAGTGGCTACTTCCAGTCATCATCTAGCCCCCGCTCTCTGGGGCAGACTGCAGTCTGTAATGGCCATTCATGATTGGCAAGGGGGTTGGACCAGCTCCCTCTGCCTAAGCCCGGGCTGCACCTCTGCAACCCCTGTACTGGCTTTGGCCTTTAGCAAGGCCCACATCCTGGGGATTTGCCAGGCTGGAGCTCCCCAGCTCCTCTTACCTTTCCCCAGCCCTGTTCTACTCAGTATCCTGAGCTCCCCGGCAGCCAGGTCCTTCTCTCTCCACAGCTAGAGAGAGACTCCCTGCCTTCTCCCCAGGAGTCCTTCTTATACTGGTCCAGCCAGGCCCTGATTGGCTGCCTCAAGCCCGCCCATGATTGGCTCCCTGGAGCAGTCCTTTCCCAGGGTTGTTTTAACCTCTTCAGGGTCGGAGTGGGGAGACTGCCCCGCTACAGTTCCCGTTTCAGTTTCTTGGTTGCCAACCTCTGTAAGCGCAGAGTTTGGAGGGAAAGTTCTTAGGATGTTTAGTTACTCTTGAGCGATGACTCTGGTGCAACCTTTGTTTACTGTTTTGATTTCCAGCATAAGTACACACAACTATTCCTTGATGTGATCTGTTGGCTTCTTGACTGAACAATTATCCTTCTGCTCCTTTCTGGTTTACAGTCCCTTTGCTCTTTGGCAATTTCTCTATTCCTGTCACTTCACCTTGTATACCTTAAGATGCTGTCCAGATGTTCTTACAGACCTTACTATTTTTCTCTGAAAACATCCACTCAATGTGCAGTGGCAGTCAAAAAAGTGAACAGAATGTTGGGAATCATTAAGAAAGGGATAAATAATAAGACAGAAAATATCATATTGCCGCTATATAAATCCATGGTACGCCCACATCTTGAATACCGCATGCAGATGTGGTCGCCCCATCTCAAAAAAGATATTAGAATTGGAAAAAGTTCAGAAAAGGGCAACAAAAATGATTAGGGGTATGGAGCGTCTGCCATGTGAGCAGAGATTAATAAGACTGGGACTTTTCAGCTTGGAGAAAAGACGACTAAGGAGGGAAACTTCTTCTTAGTGTCCGTAACTCTGTTTGCTATGGAGTTCGCCTTTTTCACTTTGCTTTCTTTATCAATTTTCTACAATTCCTAGTTTCTGATTTATATTCATCACTTTCAATTTCCCCATCTCCCACACACAATTCCCCATTATCATTCAGATTTTTTTGATTGAATTCTTTTGCCACACTGATTTGGCTCATAATTGTTTTGAGCTTTGTAAAATTGGAACTTTTAAAGCACCTAAGCTATGTATTATTGGTTTGGACTGTATTCTCTTTGCACATTACAAATGTGATCAAGTCATGATCATTCGTACCTAGTCTACCATTAATTTTTAGTTCTGTGATCAATTCCTCTTTATCTGTCAAGACAAGGTCTAATATAGAATTCCCCTGTGTTGGTTGCAACACTTTTTGTGTTAGGAAATTGAAATATCTCATAATGCTCTGTAAAACCTCATTTCTGCTATAACAGAATTAGGCAGACTGCGGAGTTGAAGACCTGAGGGACACTCATTTCTTCTTTGTCTCCATGCAACCACTGGGAACCAAGGCAAAGATTTCCAAAGCTATTAACAACCATCTGTCTACACTTTCCTTGCATTTTAAGATGTTTCTGCATTAAATCCTATTAGCATGATTTAATTTAAAGTATTTGATGTCCAGATAGCAGGTACAACAGAAACACTTCCCAAAACTGCTAAGGTGAGAAAAAGACTATTATCACAATACAAGCTTCTCTCTCACAGCTCCACCAATGGACCTCCTTTATCAACTAGAACAGCCCCTTGCTGATATATTTCCACATCCACCAGACTCCAGCAAGCTCTGCCACCATACCTCAGTCCTGACAAAAAATAACCTCTGCTATCCTATTCTTAGGCCTTCCTTCCCCAATACCTCTACCAATGCATCTCAGATCCTGACTGGCAGCAACCCTGCTATTACTATCATGCTCCCCTAATTCTGGCAATTGTTTCTAGCTCCTCATTCTTTAGCTGCAATATCCTTTGCAGTTCTAATGCTGGATCTCCCACAAAGCTTTGCTAGTTCACCCTAACCTTACCATGCAACATATGTGCTCCTTCAGTCCAGCGTGTCTCAGACACAGAAGGCAGATCATGGCAAATTGTAGGATAATTTTGACAGTGACAAATGTTCTCCAAGAAGAGATAAGTAGCTGGCTTTGGTTTTGGACAGAGGGCAAGTCTGAACTTAACCCTCCAGAAGTGAAAGGCTAATGCCTGATGAACTTATTCTGTTAGTCTTCTCTTATTTCATTTAGATTAAAATAATTTTTAAAATGCCCAGACAGAAAGCTAACAATTAATTAGATTTGCAATTGTAAGTGATACCATACAGCAGCAAAAATATCGTATACAAATAATTAATTAGCCCAACCAGGCAATAAATCAAAGCTGCAAAACAGACCCCTTCCCTAACCCACTCAAACATTCCCCCAAACGCTGTAAAATAAATTTATTTTGCAGCATGCCGAGAAAGTCATCAAGTTTGGGCTGTTTTATATTAATGCAGGAACCATGTTCTAGAGTCCCAGAACTCTCACAGAGGATACCCTGCTGGCAGCACCCTCTCTTTCAGTAGCATCCAGTAATAGTACTGCATCTTTAAGAGTTCAAGAATCAGTCGATCATTTTTAGGAAGTTAGCTGGACAAGTACCTTTTTTGGTGGTGTAAATTCTCAATAGTCCTACAGTCCCTTTGGACTTCCCTGCATAGTGTGTAAAAAGGCCCTTTTTGTTTTCTTTCATAAAGATTTGCTGACAGGGTTGTCCTCTCAATCACTCCTGAAGAATCTCCTGTGCTTGAGCATTATAGCTGAATTCATTAATACTTTTGACCCAACAAAGGCACAGAAACTCTCAGAAGTGCGGAATGTTACTGTATTGCCTTGGGCTATAGGGTGGTCAGTGGTTTGGCAGTGAGTGTAAAATAGTATTGAGTATTTCCATGGTTTGTACCATTAAGCTCAGACTTTACCAGGAATTTGAGGATCTTACTGTAATACTATGACTTTTTTCTGATTTACCAAAAATCAGCCAGTGCAAATTCCTTTGGTTTTCCCAATACCCAATGCCCAATTAGCTCAGTAAACAACAAGGAGTCTGGTGGCACCTTAAAGACTAACAGATTTATTTGGGCATAAGCTTTCATGGGTAAAAACCT